TAAAAATTTACCAAAATTCAAATAATAACAATTTATATAGCCAAATCATATTTATTAAAAGCCAAATAATAATAAATTATATAGACAAACAAGATTTACCAAATTTTTCTCTTAGATATTATTTGAAAAATGCATGTTTATACCATCCCTAAATGTACTTGCAAATTTAAGACATGCATCGAAAGAGTTCCGTACCGTATTAGCAGGGGGTCAACGCATGGCTGGCTGGTCAACTCATATATTGTATGGTTGAAATTTTCTGGAAAAACCAATATATTTGTACCAAGTTGAAATTCACCAATACATGTAATTATTTTCGTGAAGCTCTATTTTGAATTCAAACAACCTTAGCTGTGAACGAGAACGTGTTAGATGATAAATAATATTTTATTTAATAGTAAGAGTAAAATAAATAAAAGTAAATTATTTTCTTGATTTAGTATAGTGAATAATTATTATGGAATGTAAAAAATATTAATTAATTTTTATTAGATTTAATAAGGCACATTTACAAAAAATACTAATAATATTATATTTAATGGTAATTATATTTTTTTCATTACCAAATTATTCAAAAGTGTCCCTCATTTGAGTGGAATCCCTCAAATGAATAAAAATTAGCCAAATTTTAATTTAAATTGTCCAATTTAAATGAATCGCAAATGAACTCGACCTACCACCCACCAAACTAAAATTGAAAATAATTTAGAGAATCAACGAAGGTCTACTTACCAAGAGTCTCTTTATTATATCACTGATCACCTAACTCAATAATATTGAAACAAGACATAGACTTGTGTCAGTTTTGACAACTCTAATTCAGAAACATAAATATATATACTCCCTCCGTTTAATTTTACTTAATATGATTTTATTAAATACGAAATTTTTATAAAAAAAATATTTTTATAAGTTATAATATAAAATAAATTTTAGATATTTATGTAACTATAAATTATTTATGCAGCGTAAAAGAAGAATTTTATAATTAAAGAATTTCTAATAATGATAAAGAAAACATTTTTTTAACCGATTAAAAAAAACAGGTATCATATTACGTATAAAATGATATTTTTAAGTAATAACTTTGTGCTCCCTACATATTCTGGCATTATTGATCTTGTTTCAATGTTATGATTAAATTATTATTATTGGAAGAAAACAGTAGATTGGTTTCCCATCAAACAATAATGATTTTCACAAAGAAAATAACAACTTTTCTTTGACATTCTCATATAGGCCATTAATTATTGCAGCATTAACATATTGACCATTATATCATCTAGAGATTACATTATGGACTACTATGTTAAAAGGTACCACTTTCAAATACTTTTAAAATGAAAATTTCAAAAGTTGAACAGAAAATATGAAGTCCTAACATCGAAAATAAATAGATCGAACGAATTATAATTTTATAGATTAAATTTCATCATCAAAAAGTTTCTTTATCGAAAATAATAATTGACTCATATTTTCAAACTCTTCTAGAAAATCTATCTAGTCTCGTGTTGAAGAATAGAAGAAGGTCCTATATATTACATCATTTTCCTCAATATGAATAAGTTGAAATTTCGACCATTAGACCAATATTGAATTTGTAACTTTATGTTCAACTTTTTGTGTCTGTAACACACATCTTCGAGTAAAGAAATTGCAAATATTAGCCAATGTTGGTAAGTGTATAGTATTTTACATTATAAATAGTATTTCAATAGGCTTATTATCATCGAAAATCTTCTTTATCCGTGATTGTTTCCTAAAAAAAACATTAAAAAAACCACTACTTTCCTTCTCATAATGATGTATTTATAGGCATTTTAAAATAAATAAATAAATAAATAAGCAGAGTAATGGGAGTATTATTCTTTAATTAATGCCCTTGTGAAATGGACCTACCTAAATCATATTTTATCAGGACAATAAATATATGCATTAATAAAGATTACTAAATTATTGATATTAGTTAATTAATTTTTATTTAATCCGATTTCGCTATAGAAATATCTACGAAAAATGTTAATTGTCTCTAATAACTAAAAAGATATATTTAAAAATAATTAAGCTATTTTAATTATCATTGCTAAAAAATATTTTTGATGCAATGTATACGTAAGCACTACAACAAAAAATAATTTTTAGCGGCATTAAATATTGACACTAATAAAGAGTGCTAATGGTTTTACCGGCATTAGTTAAGTGTCATTAAAACCAATGTCGCTAAAGGCTTTAGGAACATATATAAAAAGTAAAACTTGCCGCTAAAAATACATATTTAACAGTAATTAAGAATTAAATGTAGCTAATGATCTTTAAAGGTAAGCGGCAAGAAGTAAACTTTACCAATCAGTTGCATTTTATAATTTTAAAGAATGGGATAACATAAAAGTAAAGGCAAATAACGTGGTGAATGCTCTTTGGCACATTGCATTTGTCCAAATCTCGAAAAAGTTTAAAATCTTTTATTGTGAGTTGTGACATTTTTATATTTCTATCAAAATGCATGAGGAATTGGTTTAAAACTTTAATGTGTTGGCCACTTATCCAAAAGTTCAAAGCAATGAAAAGTCCTACCATTAATAATTCAAAAGGGCCTTTCTATATTAATCATCACAAATGCAAGACTAAAGTGCCAATAACCTAGTAACTTATACCCCATTTTCTACCCCTTTCATTTATTCAATTATTAGACTTTAATTTGATCCATGGTGGTTGATCATCACATCTTATCTTTGGTTCAATTTCACTTCCACATTCAGATATTGAAAACAAACAACATTAGTTATTTAGTGTTCAGATTTATAAATCACATCTTAATATTCAGATGTGTATTCAGATTAAAACATTCAAATCTTAATGAAAATCTTAATATTCAAATGTATATTCAGATTCAGACCTCTTAATCTTAATAGAAGCAAATGAGACCTAAGATAAATAACAGTCAATTTATAAATTATGACATTTTGACCACTATTTTGTTTGTCCGTTGTTATTTTGTTAGGTAAAATTCACAAATGGCTATACCCTTCACCCTCTGTTATAAACAATAAAGTCATTGTTATGACTTCTAGAGATAAAAAATTTTATAGGTAAATCTTCAGGGCATTATCATGATGAAATTTTCTATCAAGAATCATTAAAAAATATAGCAAATTCAAAATGCACACAAAATTAAAAGAGAAGGGGGGAATACAGAGTAATTCAAATTGGCCCACATTTTAGGATGAAGATAACAAAGGGCTCAAATTCTATTCATTATATTTGGGCCATTTTTATGAATGTGGCTGTCACAATTCAATAAGAGGGTCTTTCAAATAAAAGCCATATTCAATCAAATCCAAGAGGACCCAAATGGCATGTGTATGATAAAGTGAGTACGCATAGGAGAACTTTTTGGGCCATATGATTTTTAGAATGTTGAAATAATAGCTAGGACAAAGAAAGCACAATCAAGTGAAATAGTTATAGTTTGCTTAACTATGATGCACAACTGCATTTTAGAAAGAAAAAAAGACGAGCGAGATGTGGAGAGAGAAAAGATGCGAAAGAGAGGAGGGGCATAGAAGCGAAAAATACGTTGCTTCTTGCCAAATAAAATACGAGAATTCCAGGGGGAAAAATAGCAAAATAATGAAGAGATACAATTTGCATGAACCATGAAGAGGTTTAGAGTGTCAAATGGACCAATTAAGTTAAGTTTAAATAGTTAAAATATATTGTGTTTAATAAATGTACGAATCATTAATCTACAAAATTTATTTGAGTTGAGCCAAGATGGGTTAAATAATGGAAACTTACATAAATATACTATAATAAAAAAATATTTACCATTTATAGCAATAATATTTTTATCTCACTTGATCACTTTTAATTCATTTATAATACAAGTTTAATACATATTACAAAGAATAATTTATTATTCACATATAATACAAATTTTAATGATGAATAATACATTTATCACACATTTTAATACATTTATAATACAATGTGACAATTTTTTACCAAACAAACATGATATATTTCAAAAAACAATTATAATTCATATATATTGCGTACATAATTCACTTTTAATTCATATTACAGATTTAACAAAGTATTGCTATAAATGTTAATAAACAAAAAGTATCGCTAAAATCAGTAATTATTTTTTAAAATGTATTAATTTATGTAATTTTTCCTTAAATAATTGGTCAGAATCTAATCCATCCAACTCTTGCCTAGCTAGTTTTTAATTTCTTAGTTGTTTTTCTTCTAATTTAGGGAATATGTACAAATATCTCATTAATTTATTTTCTAAATCTCAAAGATATACTTATATTATACTAAGGTATTATTGCTTCCTGAACTTATTATATAAGTAATTTTTTATTCCTTTTCGGCCTACGTGACACTAGTTTGAAAAAAAAAATCAACCAACATTGGGCCCACAAGATAGTGTCACTTAGGCCTAAAAGGGATAGAAAATTATTAATAAAATAAGTTCAGGGTAATATAACTTAGTATAGTATAAGTGTGTCTCTGAGATTTCGGACATAGGTTGAGGGGTAGTTGTGCATTATCCCTATAATTTACTTTATTTAAAGAAAAATTCCTTAAATATCTTTTCTTAAAAAATAAAATAAAATAAAACAATATATATATATATATATATATATATAAAATTAATAATTTATTCAATTTTATAAATATTCACAAAATACCTTTGGCACTAAAATGCAAAATTTATTTTTCTAGAAGAAGAATATTTCAACCAGCCGAATCACTGAACGAATTCCAACTCACTATGAAAAATAGTTAAATGATTTATATGAGATATAAGTTGTACGTGCAAAATACAAACACATATCATATACATATACATATTGATTCAGTATAATCATTTTGATACACGTAATTCCAAGTGTTACTATTACATAACTTGTCTTTAAATTTATAAAAGCTCAAGTAATTACGTACTTTTGTCCTAAATTAATCTCATTTACTAAAACAAACAAAAAAATTGAAATGCAACTTGAATTTCAATAGCGAAAGCTTGTAATTACAAACATGAATTCATCGACGTTACAATTTTACTACAACTATTTCTCTTAAACATCAGTCAATTGACTTTAGCTTAGGATCAATTAGGCTAAAAATAACAACAAAAATTATTGCACAAAACTTACTTCCTGCTATTACAAACTTGCAATGAATTCTCTAAATTTCAAATTAAATGAAGAATTCTTCAATGTCAAATGTGATTTCAGGTTCATAATCCACCCCTTCTCCACCAAATGAGGAATTTGAAATCGAAGTCGGAGTTGATATCAATTCAGTAAGATCTGAATCTGAGCTCTGTAGAATCATGTGTTCCATTCCAAATTCATCATTTGGGGACGCCAAGTATAATGGTAACTCTGACGAATCTGGAAAGAATTTATTTTCTTCGATAATATTTTCGATGTGTAGTGGTGCAGGAGGGAATGGGAACGCCGTGAAAACCTCTTCATCTTTTGCTGTTATAATGTTAAAGTTTTCAGCGTTATGGTTTGGTGTTGCAGAGTTGAATATTACCATTTCTTCTTGTTGTTTTTTGTTGCATTTCTGGCGTTTTTGGTTATTAAGTGAAAATATTTCAGATTGTGCAACTTTGCAACTGTGCCTTCCTTTATATGTCACTTCAAAAATTGTTGAATTTGCATCTGATTTTTGGACTTGTTTTGTAGCCAAACACCCCTGTGTGTTCCTATGAGTACACCTATAATAAGCCCTGCATTTACCCCCAAAAAGAAAAATGATTAACACAAACATATCGACTTATCACAACATGTTAAATTTAAACAACCAGTATGAAACTGTTGTCATTGTATATAAGTTAAAACTCGATTCGATGTACTTCTATCATTTACGATCTCAATTATTTTTTTTCACATTACTACTTGCCAAAAGTAAAGGGCCTTTATGACTCAAAAAGTTGATTGGTTTACTTTCTCTAGCTACTCAAGGACAAGAGACATTTGGAAGTGTTTTAATATAGAAGGGACCACATGAAATGATCAAAATTCATGCACTGAATGTAGCCTAAAAACACCAAAAACTAGGAACTATGATGTTTTTATTTTTTATTTTTTTATCTTTAACTTTTTACTACTATTTTTTATTTTTTATGATTCAAGGATCCCATCTACTGCCATCATTTTCATTGTAATTTATATTTGGAGCAAGTGGGCAATTGCAATTAATGTAGCTGACCACCTCCTAACAAGTAATAAATCTTAGTTTAAGTTAATTACATTAATTAATTCAACAGTTGATTAAGTAGTTAGTCTACGAGACAAAAAAAAAGTCCAAATCACTTCCATTTTTAGTATAATCTTGTCTTTTTTATTCAAAATTAAATTTAACCATTAAACAAATAGATTAAAAAAATTTAACAAACAGTAAAATTAAAGGATTTTTATTTTTTTTACCTTGGATGACTAGCCCCTAAAATATCTTTTTGGCCATATTTTCTCCAACTAAATCCATCTTCACATGGACCTTCAAGCCCATTTACAGAAATGCTTGTTTGATTAATCCATTGTTGTGTTTTCTTTCTGCAAATCCAAAAAATATATATATACAAATTGAGCAAAAACATGTATATATATTTTTAAAAATCCAAGAAAATAGTCCAAAATAGTAAAAAAAAAAATCACCTTTTCTTGGAGACCATATTTTTGTCCAATTTTTCCCTTGAAGAATCAAAAACTTCACTCTTGGGACTAATATTATTATTACTACTACCAAGAAATGAAATCGATGAACATGAAGATGTAGAATTGTTAATATTATTAATTCCACCTTCAAGAAGAAGAGCCTTCAAATTGAGAATTGATAATGATTTTTCAAGTGTAGACAATATTTTCCCAATTAGTAAATCACATTCCTCAGGAGAAGCTAATGGACCAATTATCTGATTTTTCAATTGGTTTACAAATTCCTTCCCTTGTGTTAACTCATTAATCAATTTCTTTTTCTCCATACTTTTAACTTTCTCCATTTTGTGAAACTTCAATGATGACAAAATTGGTAATTAATTTTGTGAAATATGTGTGTGTGTGAGCATATAAATGGATTTATGAAGGGGGAAAGTTGCTAAGAAAGAAGTAGGAGAGAGCAAGTGAAGTTGCTTTAGGGATAGTTAGAAGAAAAAAAATGAAGGAAATGGAAGGGATATAAAGAGGAAAAAAAGTGGAAAGGGGAACAAATATTGACTATGAGATTATACATTATAGTTTTGTTGGAATTTTCTTTTCTTTTGTTTTATGAATTGAATTTTTTTTTCCCCCTTTACTAGAGAGAAATTAAATTAAATAGAGACCCTACAATGACTAATTCAAAGAGTGCGTTTTTTGGGCCACCACGCTTTACGTATCGTTTTTTCTTCTTCTTCTTTTACTCGTTAAACTTATTATTCTTTCATCAATAATTGATGTTAAAGTTTTAAGTGTTTTCCAAGTTCTAATATAAACTAGTCCAAATCAAAAGATTATGTGGCCTTTATTATTTTCACTAGTTTTAGTTACACGCGTCGCATTTGTATACTTATGCTTAATTTATAATCGCGTTAAAATATTCTTTTACGTGTATGTCAAAAAAGATAAGTCATATCTCAAATTTCGATGAATTTTGAATTTACTCTAATAATTATTAATCATATTTGAGTTTTGATATTTAAGAAGAAGAGAGTAGAATTTTTTTTTAAAAAATTTATAGTTAAAAAATGAAACCCTCTTTAGCTAATAAAGGATAGTACGAGCGAATGTTTATTACATCTTTTTGAAAAGTTATAACCTTTCGGAAAAATCCCAACTAATAAAAAATTCATAATCCATTAAAAAAAAATCACAACTCATCAGAAAAATTATCATTCTTCGAAATAGTTGAAAGTATTATAATAATTTAATTTAATGATCGAATTAGAAAGTTTATTCTTTTAAAATAGCATAGAATAAACAGACAAATGAATATAAATATTGATATTGATATAGATTTAGTTATTGATTAAAGAGGAGATTCCATTTTTAGGTACAAAATGTCACATTCAGAAGCACAAACAAAGTCGATCGCTAACAATAATTGAGCGCGTAAATAGCATGATTAAGATAAGAATTTGTTTGCCTAATTGCTTTTCATAGAAAAAAGGCATTTTAAAGGAGAAAAAATCCTTATTTGGCCAATATGTTTCTCAATATTTCTTTAATAGATTGACAAGTATATATAATATGTTTACTCATTTTGTAGAAACGTATTTTTATGTATCAAAATATAATATTTTGAAGTGGATATATCATTGTCATAAAAAGAAACTATTAGTATTATTCAAATAAAGAAACTATTTTAATTAATAGGATTGTATTAACATTTGAGAAATATATTGGTTAAATAATTATTTTGTTTTGAAAAAGTTAACCTCCTATTAATACTATGAATTTATAACTTTTTTATACAAATATTTTTACTTTTTGAAAAGCCTGATTATAATTCAAATTAAATAATTTATTTATTATAATCAAAATATTAATGTGTTCTCACTTAGTGTGATAAGAAACAACCCTCACTTGTGATGGTATAAAATGAGAAACACTGTATGAGCAAGTTGAGTGTGAACGTGGAAACACGTGCTGCAATTTTCTACTTCATTTTGATTGAGAATTAGATTCACTTTTCATTTCGTTTTTAGACAAATCTGATTTTTTATTTCTTTCTAGAAACTAAAAAAAGTGACTCTAAATGTTTGAGCAATTTGATTTTTGAGATAATTGCTTGTAGATTCCTTTCAAAATCCTTTCATCTAAATTATTTTACATTTTTAAATATGTTATCATTTTAATTTTTTATACTTTTTAATTGAAAAATAAATAAAAAAATTAAAAAAATATTACTATTTTTAATTTTCTAATCAAATTTTAACTAAATTATGCATTATTTTTTCTTTTATGATGGCAATTGAAAGTTGAAAAATATTTATCGTCATATATTATCTATAGTAGATTTGGTTCAAGTTTGACAAAAAAAAAAGGATAGAGCCCATGGTTTTTTCAGCAAGAAAAGAAAACCTCTTTGCATGATATACTTTTCTTAGTTGGCCAATAGATATAGTTAGAGAGAGAATTTTTGTAATTTATTATATCGTAAAATTTTTAGAGATTATGAAATCTTATATTTATCAAAATATAGACATCGCTATCTAAGAAATATTATTTTATCTCAAAACCTATCACTCATTAACCGTTAATTATCCCAAAACATCAATTTTCGGAACTCAGAAAAAATAAAAGAAAAAAGTATTAAGAAAACGATAGTATATAAAATAGTTGGTGGAATTACATAATTAACGTTTGAAGAATAAAAAAGAATAACATAAACGTAACAAAGGGGTTGTATAAATGTGACATCACGATTCTACGTCAAGTTGTTCTCACATTATTTGTCTCATATAATATATATTATAATATAAAGTAGCAATACATTAAGTACACCAACGCGGAACCACGTTTGAATATTCTTCTTTTGACTGATTTAGCAATCAGATAAAATCTTATAATTGTAATTCTGTGGCTTATACTCTTTTGTTGTTATCTCAAATTGTTTCGACTAAAAGTTAAGAAGCTTCTTGCGTTTTTGAATTTTGATATTTAAATTTGAAATATATATTATTTACAATTTATGATTATGAATTATTTGAATTTTTAGTAGTACATTCTTAATAATATTATTATGTTTGCAATTTATTATTACCACATATTTTTTAATATAAATATAAATTTAACTTGATGTTATTGAATTACAGTATCTATAAATAAATAGTTAAAATTTTTAAAATGATCATTTTCAAACATACTTTGGAAAATAATAATTGTTTGGTATTTCAATTTCTAGAAATAAATTTCAAAACACCAAAGCACGAAATTACTTTTTTCATAATATATCGTTTATTCATTCTTGCTAGCGCTCCGACAATTCATGATCTTGAGCTACTAATAATACATCTTTTAGTATTTGTTCAAATTATATTTTATCTCTCGTTTTAAATATTTTATTGAACTAACACCTTGATAATTAGAATAACAAATTGAAGGTCTGTGAGGAATGTAAATGAACTAGTTATTTTTTAAAACGTCAAATATTTTAAAATAAATTTATTGACCGAAATAATACATCGAAAACTATACTTTTTATGGGTCATACTAAATATACTTTGAACGAAAAGGTGTATATATAGTTTCTTAGGTAACAATGTGTTCAATTTTTAATGTATTACTCTAAGTAGTCAAGTAAATTGTATGATGTCAAGATTATTTTTTTGATCATGTTTTTTTTTCTCGATTTAAATTTCCTTCTTTTCATTTTGACAGAGTCGAAAGAAAATAATTCGTTTGGATTTGACTTGCCATGTTATATCCAGCTTATTGGTACATGCAAAAATAAAAAAATAAAATATTATATTAATAAGTAGAATTAATGTGTGTGCTGCTTCTTCATTACTCTATTTTGTTTCAAGAATATTTCTTTTAAAAAGTCAGTGAGACTATTAGTATAATAGTACAATATCTTTACAACATTTCTTTAAGATATAACATATGATATTAAGTTCTCTTATTTATTGAAATTTGATGAGTTATGGTGGACTAGAAGTAGAAAAGGAGGATTATACAACACCTATGGAGAGCGTCCACTTGTAGCCATGTTGATCAAAATGATTAAATTTAATGACTTGACCAATTACTAGCCCTCGTATTATAAGATTCTCTCATTCTGTGGTGTCGAATCTCTTAATTTGGGGCAGGAGTCTCAACGATAAGTTGTGCCTGCAGTTGTTCATGAACATTTTAAGAAGCTTCCATGCTTCAAGATTGAAGTTTTCACCAGAAATATCTGATGAATATAAAATTTGAAGATTAATTATGGCTTTTTGTTTGGTATAGTCGTATCATTTGATTTATTGAGTTTAAAATTTATTATTTTTAAATTAATTAATTATTAATAAAAATGGAAGATTCACAGATAAAAAAATTAACTCATAAATTATGCAATAGATTCACCTGCAGAGAAGATTTAGAATTTCAAGAAAAAAAAAGGTGCACTCCCGCTTAGAATTGTATTCAAAATAAAATTGAGGTTCAATCTTTGGATACATACAATTAAATTCATTATATTTTTAAAATTATAATTTTAAAATAAATTATTTTGAAGTTCTTAAAAACAAATATGGACCCTTTTTAATTACATGCTCCATCCTTTATTACTATTCATTAATTTAATATAGGTAATTATAAAAGGAGATAAGAAATTTCAATGTGTCAAGTTTATGAATTTCTAATATGAAAGAGTAAGTCAAGCAAATAAAGGAAGAAAAACTTAATTACCAGACATGAATGGACCCTATTTTTATTTTATTTTTCCTTTTTAAGGATAGACATCAAATCAAACATGGAATTTGAATTTAGGTGCACAATTACATACTTTAAGTAATTTTGACAATTATATATAAATGTTTCTCTAAACTATTAACAGGAAAGAACATGCATCTAGCTAGAAAATTTTATAGTTAATTATAAATTTATAATGCTGGCAGTGAGTTGTGCTTAATTGACAAATAATTAACATATCCTCCATTTCTCTTGGATTAGAGGCCATTTTAAACAAAATTATTAACAAGCATACAAAGTCAACTTCAATTAAAATCATTTGAAGTTAAGTATTCATTAATGCTCTATTAATTATGGAAACTGAGACTGTACCAACAATTATACTATACAACCCCAATTGGCAAATTGCCTTTTATAAAATGTTCAAATTGATGTTTAATAGTGTCCTTATCATAGTATTGCTTACTCCAAACTAATCTAACCCAATATGTTAATTAAAAGTGATTTGAATAGGTTCTTCCCAAGAATATATCAACTCAGCTTATTTAACTTTATTCAAATTTAACTTAACTCGTTATTTGACATTTTTACATAAGATATTAATTTTTAAACATAGTTTGTCAAATTTAATGAAGTAACGTTATGATGATATTGAACCTAATCTTTAGTTATTTAACAAAATAATTCCATTTTATTAAATGTTTTTTTACCCCAAAAAGTATATGCAAGCAATTTCACTAATTCAACAATTTAAAAAAAGAAATATGCAAGCTATTTCACTAATTCAACTT